TTACAGACTGGAATCTAATCGAGGGGTTCGGATGGTTTATATATAGAATAATGGATACCCGGGAGTGAGTTACAGACTGGAATCCAATCGAGGGGTTCGGATGGTTTATATATAGAATAATGGGTACTTGGGAGTTATCCCTTTGCTCAGGGAGAGGTTGCTGTCATTGGCGTTGCTGACATTTACATCATTAGTCCAGGCTTTTGGGTTGTGAACGGTGTTTCACTATGTGTAGGGAGTCGGGTGGGTAGTCTAGGGCTTTGCCTGTGTCTCAGTGAATAGACACAGGCTGGAGTTGTGCTTGCTGTGTTTAGGAAGTAATCTGCAGATTACGTGGAAATAAATTCTCCTGAAGAGTGTGTAAATTTTGCCTGCAGCTATCTGTTTCATTGAACGGTTTTCTGGAATATAATGTGTCCATCTCGTCCAGCAAGCTAACCAGAAGACAGCATCCTGATTGACAATGACACCCATTCTATCGGAGTATCATCAGTCAGAAACGGGGGCATTGTGCCACGTGAGGTCAGAGGCCGGGGTGGAGGCGTTAGATTGTTAGGCCGGGACTTAAAGGAGGGGGACCGAGGCACGGGAGGGGAGGCTCTGCATCGAGCCTCAGAGCAAAAGTGAGTTAAGCATAGAATCGCTACAGTGTGGAAACAGATCCTTTGGCCCAACAAGTCCATACTGACCCTCACATTCAAACCCATCCCCCTATAACACACCTAAACTACACATCCCTGAACACTGCAGGCAATTTAGCATGGCCAATCCACCCTAACCTGCACATTTTTGGAGGAAACCAGAGGGAAATGTGCAAACTCCACACAGGCAGTTACTCAAGTCTGGAATTGAACCCAGGACCCTGGTGCTGTGAGGCAGCAGCGCTAACCCACTGAGCCACCGTGCCACCCCTCAAAGAGAAGGATTTCCAGACACTGCTTACGGCGACGTTGTAAATGGCCATCCCCACTGCCCGGTGGTCATTGATCTTCTCCGTGGAAATGCTCTTCGTCTCGTAGGCCAGGAATATCCCCAGGAGGAGCAACAGGCCCTTATATCCATAGACAATTCCTGATGGGGGTGGGAAGAGAAGAACATCAGTAGAGGCAGCATAGGAGCTGGCAGGTCAAACAAACAGGTCTGATTCACAACACTTTTTGCAGTATGTTTATAAAGCAAATTCTCATCTCCTGACCGAGAGAGCTCAGCTATTGGACATGGTGACCGGGATGACTGTCAGTGGGAGAAGCAGGCAGTCTGACCTTCAAGGGACGGTGGGGGGAGCAGACGGATAGGGAAAGACAAGGGTCTGACTAATTTGTCTTGTACCTCAAACAGCAGTCATGGAACGACTGAGCACAGCGATCGACCGTGATCAGTAAGCCCTCAAAGGTTTCAGATGAGGCCTGAGGAAAGCTCAGGGTGGTGCTGAGATTTTGTGTCTGTGCCCCATCTCCTTAGGCAGTAGTTGCCCACAGAGTAAAAGATAAACAGCGATAGCAGCAGGGGCCGTTTCTATATTCGCCTTTCTTAGCCTCCTTTTACACCGCTCCTGAATTTTGCTGACTCTCCCAGGGACACACGTCCTTAACCACAAAGGGCAGCCCATCGAGGCTTTCATTCTAACTGGGATTTGGGTAGAATTTCACAACTGACGTTGGCGAATTCAGTCGAGAGTAGATTAAAAAAAGAAAATCAAGGCAGCCATCCAGCATGGCTTTGCAGCCAAGTCAGATTTTGCCTTCAGCCAGAACTTGGGACACGCATGTACCCCACACCAGGGTAACGTTCAGGGTTGGGGCCTGGGCTGATGCTTCAACATCATCCACACCACTAGCTTGGGCAGGGAAAGACTAGCCACCCAACCAACAACCACCCCCCCCAACAACAACTGCATCAAAGTTGGAAGTGTAGATCCCTGGCAGGGCCGAGCTGGAAGGTATTTTCTGATCAACCTGTTTGGGGATGACATGACACGCATGTATACACACACACACACAGACAGAGACACACACACAGACAGAGACACACACACAGACACAGACACACACACAGACAGAGAGACACACACAGACAGAGACACACACACAGACACAGACAGACGCACACCGACAGACACACAGACACACACTGACGCAGACACACACACTGACACAGACACACACACACACAGAGACACACACACAGACACAGACACAGACACACACAAACACCTCTGGAGCAGGTGGGACTCGAACCCAGGTTTCCTTGCTCAGAGGTAGGGACACTACCACCACTGTGGCACAAAAGCACCTAGGGCCAACCAGGCAACCCGAGAACCCCACACTCGAGGTGTTTAAACTGACGGGTGGGCACCATAGTGTTGGGGGTGGGGGGGCTGCTGGAGGGCATTATTTCTGCCTTCAGCTCCAATCTGATTTAGTACCCCCTCTCTCCTCCGACCGTACCATATTGTAGCACCTGTAATCTGTTAGTTTAACCGGTGACAGGGGTGATTTTGCTGCGGGTTTTCTTCAAAGAGAAGGGGTTGGGTGGTAACACTGACTGATGCATGTAGTCATGGCCAAGGCTAGAAATCCACTGGGGGTTGTCCCCGCTAGGTTCAAATCCTGCCGATCGTGGCCCTCATTAATTGACCCTCTTGTGGCGCAGCATTAGTGTCCCTCCCCCTGGACCGAGAGGTGTGCAATTATATCTCTGAACAGGGTGATTCCAAAAAAATAGGTTGAAAAAAAAAGTGGGGCCGAGTGGAGGGCCCTCTTGCAATGCAGTGGTGGTATCCTTGCCTCTCAGCCAGGGGACCTGCGTTCAAATTTGCTGGTGGGTAGACAAACAACGAGCTGGGATGTAGTGGTTGTGTCCCTGCCTTTGAGTCAGAAAGCCTGGGTTCCAGCCCTATCTGTTCCATGGGTGTGCCATAACATCTCTGACCACGTTGATTAAAAAAAATCTACAACAGAAGTAGCTGGGTTGGCAGTGACCACTGACAGGCATTTAGAGAGAGGGGAACACCATAGGAGCTGGTGTGCATCATCTTCCCTTCCGACACTGTATTGACTTGCTTCCCTATCCTTCCTTTTACATTATTGTTACAGTACCACCCCTGCGGGCAGTATCTGTAAGTTGTTGCTTGTTTTAATTGGGTTGATTGGGTGATTTGGAGGTGCTTTTTCAAAAACCGACTTTTTCCCCATTGGAGAGTTGGATTCTGGAACGGGAACGTGTTCAGAAGGGAAAGGTGGTTTGTGCTAAACTATAGGTTTATAATAAAACCCTTCATAAGTCTTTTGCTGAGTAATTCAACACATGGACATCAGCCTGTTAAACAAAAATGAGACCAGATGACTCAGCACAGTCATGGGATCACACTGAGCTAACCCACCAGGACTGATAAGGGAGAAGCGTCCTGTCCTTCCAATATGCAAGTGTCAAAGACCCGAATTAGGTCCAGTTTATGAAAGAGTAAAGATTTTGGGGAGCAACCAGTGGGGGTGGTGACTCCGAGTAAAGTGGAAGAAGCTGACAGAAGATGACGAGGAAGTCACTCCGGACAATGAGCTTGTCAGTGCTGCCTGGACTGTGATTCTGACCCAAAGTCACACGGCCCATTCCCCAGTCGGGTTTCTGACTTCTGAAGGGGGTTGGGGGTTGTTGCAAACATACCGAGCCACGTGTTCATCTTGTCGGAGCTGCAGTGCTCGAGCTGCGGCAGGATCAGGACACCCTGGTCCCCTGCTGGGGCCTCCTTCGAGAACTCCTGGGGACAGAGCGGAATAGAAAGGTCACAGGCTCTCTCTGTCTCGCTGCATATTCATTACTGTCAGCTCAGACTCTTCCTTCACCCTTCCTCCTCAAAATCCTGGCTGCATACATTATCCTTCAAATACCCTTACCCAGGCACAAGAACATGCCATTAACATCCATCCACCTGCCCCTGGCCAAACCCCCGAATCTGACCTGCTCCCCTCCCACATCCACACCGTCCCCATTTCCGCATGGATCCCTCTTCTTCCCCAAGTTGCCCCCCAACTCTCATCAGTTTGCCCGCCTTCGCTTCCTCCCCCACAACTAGAACCCTCCCACACCTCCCCCCCGGGATCTTGGTATCCCATCCACTCTCAAACTCTGCTCTTCTCACCACCCCCATCCTCCTCCACGCCCCACCACCCCAACCACTATTTACCCTACTTCACACTTAGGGCCTGTTACCCACTGGGGAGCCTGCTCCTCTCGCCAATGCAGAGGCAGCTTCCCAATAGCCCCTCTTCCACTCTTTCCTGCCCCCATTCCCCATTCATTCAGACCCTGTTCCCCACTCAGACCTAGCTAGCAACACCCTGGTCCACATTTGGACGCTATTCCCCCTCTCATTTGGACCCTATTTCCACACTCGAGCCCTGCTCCCTCTTTACCAGAGTCTCTCCCCAATTTCTCCCCACTCAGACTCTTGTTCCCCCACTCTCCTTAATTTTGAACGTCTGTCGGGCCATTAAATCCACAGCATTGCTCATTCCATTTCCATTTCCTTCACAGGTCAAAGGCCTCTCTAGTCAGACGAGGAGAGCATTCTGTGCTGGTCTCACAGAGGAGTTCACAATCCCATCTGGTTTCGATGAGGAAACAGTGGAGGCCAGTCATAGAGCATATAGCACGGAAACAGACCCTTCGGTCCAACTCATCCATGCTGACCATCACCCCAAACTAAACTAGTCCCACCCACCTGCGCTTGGCCCATATCTTTCCAAACCGTTCCTATCCATGTCCCTGTCCAAATGTCTTTTTCATGTTGTAACTGTACCCACATCCATCACTTTCTCTGGAAGTTCATTCCACACCTGAACCACTCTGTGTTAAAAAGAAATTGCCAATCATTTCTTTTTGAAATCTTTCTCCTCTCACCTTAAAAATATGCCCCCTAGTCTTGAAAATCCCCCACCCGAGGGGAATAACACCTGCCACTCACCTTGTCTATGCCCCTCATGATTGTACAAACCTCTATAGCGTCATCCCTCAGCCTCCTATGCTGCAGTCCCTCACCTCGATGGTGCGGTGAAGCGGGTCAACGATTTGCCAGACTGCCAGCGTGAGGACGTCAATAATGAGCAATACACCGACCGTGGCGTACAGTTTCCAGGGCTCCAGGTGCTGCAGGGGACAGCAGAACACGACAAGGTTACATTCAGACAGACTGGTCCCCCAGCACATCCAGTCACAGGCAGAATGGATAATCATAGGCTGAAGGGACCATGATATCAGTTACAAAACAAAAACCATCTCAATTAGATACTGAGGAAAAATACTATCCACCTCCCTATCCTGGGACTGGGTGGGACAGTGGATCCAACACTGTCCTTGCCCCCACTCCCTCTGGGACTGGGTGGGACAGTGGGTCAGACACTGTCCTTCCCCCCCACTCCCTCCCTCTGGGACTGGGTGGGACAGTGGGTCAGACACTGTCCTTTCCCCCCACTCCCTCTGGGACTGGGTGGGGCAGTGGGTCAGACACTGTCCTTTTCCCCTCCTCCCTCTGGGACTGGGTGGGACAGTGGGTCAGACGCCGTCCTTACCCCCCCCTCCCTCCCTCTGGGACTGGGTGGGACAGTGAGTCAGACACTGTCCTTTCCCCACACCCCTCCCTCTGGGACTGGATGGGACAGTGGATTAAACACTGTCCTTCCACCCACCCCTCTTCCTCATGGGACAGGGTGGGGGTAGTAAATGTTGCTGTGCTCAAAGATACCCAGGTGAGGGTATGTTGTCTGGATCATGTGCAGTGCTGACTGAACAGCACTGGATACTAGTAGTCAGGGGGAGAACTCCCATTACTCATGTTCCTGTGGCCGGTAGATTCATTTCTATACATTCCAGCAATGAGCCAAACAGTTCTTCGTTCACACGCAGCCTTGAGGAGTGAATCCTCTCTCGCTCAGGTCCCAAACCATCCCAAATTGTGTTGAAGTACCCAAGCCCTTGGGAAGCGAGATGGGTTTGGTCAGAGAGAGGAAACATGCCAATCCTCAATTCCCTTGTGACGAAGTATCACCACCCTACACCCCCTCATTCCATCTCCCAGCCTCCGACACCTCCACCCATACCTGTTTCTGGCTCTGAGTGAGTTAATACACCCCTGTCTGTGGGTGTGTTTTTTTCTAATCCACAGTCAATCTTTGGTTAACTCAGCCTTACCCTGAGACAGAGAGAGAGAGAGAGATAGAAAGCCAGACGGTGGTGAGTAAGGACTGGTGATAAAGATGTTACACGATGGCGATTTGGGAAAGGTGGACTTGGGATTGGGGATGGTATTGAAGGTCATTCCTGGGTCAGAGCTAACAGGGTAAAGGGCGGGGGTCAAAAGTCGACTGGGCTCCCTGGGTCTGAGATGGGTTCGTAGAGCAGCCCGTTGGGGTAAATAGAGGTGGTGGTGGAGGGATTGAGGGGGAGAGGTTTGTGGGGGGGTGGTGGGAACAGCAGGGAAGGGATGAGGGAGGCTGTTACTCAAAGGCAAGTTGTTTCTGACCCGGGTTGGTTTGATGTTGACACTGGGTGAAAAGTTTGGAGAGAGGTTCCAGTCTCCGGCACTGACCGTGGGGGTGGGGGGCGGCGGAGTCGATTGGCTGCTAATCCAGAGATCCAGGTTAATGCTGTAGGGAGATGGCTTCGGATCCCACCGTGGCAGATGGTGGGCATTTGAAATTCAGTCAAAGGTTGGAATTAAGGGTCGAATGAACACCATTGTCAATTATCGGAGGTTAGAAATGGATGGGGAAGCTCACATTTAAGCAGTCTCCCAGCCCTATCGCAATTCTCTAAGGGAAGAAGCGTGATAATATTTAAAAAGAAAAATCAGCACATCCTGACACAACAAGAAGGTAAGAGCTGGGGTATGCTCAATGATCTTCCAGGGCTGGTTTTATACCCCATTTCTACCTTCCCATTATACCTTCCATTTCCTCTGTGCCCAAAAACATTAACCTGTCCATCCCAATTCCCACTTCCTACAGACAAAGGGGGTGGCCATGGGTACCCGCATGGGCCCAAGCTATGCCTGCCTCTTCGTAGGTTACGTGGAACAATCCCTCTTCCGTACCTACACCGGCCCTAAACCCCACCTCTTCCTCCGTTACATTGATGACTGTATCGGCGCCGCCTCGTGCTCCCACGAGGAGCTCGAACAGTTCATCCACTTCACCAACACCTTCCACCCCAACCTTAAGTTCACCTGGACCATCTCTAACACTTCTCTCTCCTTCCTGGACCTCTCTGTTTCCATCTCTGGCAAACACCTCGAAACCGATATCCATTTCAAGACTACCAACTCCCACAGCTACCTAGGATACACCTCCTCCCACCCACCTTCCTGCAAAAATGCCATCCCCTATTCCCAATTCCTTCGCCTCCGCTGCATCTGCTCCCAGGATGAGGCATTCCACTTCCGTACATCTCAAATGCCCTCATTTTTCAAGGACCGTAACTTCCCACCCCAAGTGGTCGAGAACGCCCTCGACTATGTCTCCCGCATTTCCCGTAACTCGTCCCTCACACCCCCTCCCC